GATGCCTTAGACTTTTAATTCTTGGTGTTACTCAAAGTTAATTTAGTTTTTCTTTAACTAGTTTAGTTATTTAATTTATTCAAATCATTTAATTTCAATTGTTCAAATAAAATTAGAATTCATAAATTTTGGTACTTAATTAGTCTACAGTCTCTGTGGGACAATACTCTATTTTCATCATTATATTACTTGAACGGACTAGTACACTTGCTAGAGTGGAATTAGCTCATCAATATATCCCACCTCATTTGGATAGCTGACAACTCCATCCATTTTGGCACGTCAACAAGAGTAATAAAAATGGAGAAGAAAATGATAGATTGTGGGTCTTGGCATTTTTAAATTGTTAGGCTAGAGGTCATTTTGGCCATGGTAGCCAACTGTCGCATGCATGCCATATCGCGCGCAGAGACCATAAGCACATTATTGCCTTACAAGCTCTTCTTAACTGGTGGGTCTCCATCACCTAGTGTCCCTTGCAACATAGGGTTAAGGAAACTAAACGATAAAGCTTCTATAACGGGTTAAAGCCAACCGTTGTCTCTCTACTTTTAATTTTTATTCATGTTCGTCCCTCTACTAAGGATTTGCTCCTTGTCATCCCTCTACTTCACCAAAAGCACTAAATGTCATCCCTGTACTCCAATTATTTTGTTCGTTGTCATCCTTTTTCTAATGGAGTTGCCTTAGTCGTCTATTTGAACCGTTTAATCCATAAACGCTCAATTGTTGAAGCTTTTCTTGGATTTTTTTTTTTTTCATATATGCTGCCAATTAGGAGGATAGAAGCACCCTTTAGTCAATGTCCTGCTCCACTTCTTCTTTCAAATTTAATCATTTATGTTGTTTATTTCTAATATTATCTCTTATATTTATTTGTTTTTATAGTAATTCACATTTAGCTCAACTATTATGAATTATCAATTTTTAGTTAAAGAGGTGAACTATATTATATAATGTATTAGTAAGTATACATATTGAGTTAATAAATTGTGATGCTTTAAATTTTATATTGAGTAGAAATGTAAATGTAAAGATTCATTATTACTAAAAACTTAATGTTAACCTTAGCTTAAAAAGTTGTTAAAATTATTTTAAATGAGTTTCTTTAATAGGGTTTTAGGGCATATGTTAAGAGCACATTTATCGTATCTTTTCAAAATTTATATAAAAAAATTACGAAAGTAAATTTTATTTTTAACATCAATCCCACATGAAACATTTTAAATAGATAATTAATAAAATTATAGTTAATTTTTATTTTTTTATACAAATGAATGATGAAAAGATGCACACATTAAAAACAATATTTTTTAATAGACGGTTTTTCGAACATGATGA